GACAGGACAGTGGCTTTTTAGGAAACCACGGGAGGTGAGTGGAAAGAGCAGAATGAACATACGGTCTCCGTGCTGCAGGCGCAGGATGGTGGGACTGGGGAGCAGACAGTCCTCTTGAGAAGAAAAGGGGAGAAACAGAAAAAGGATAGTCAAGCTCGTTGGAATCCTAAGAGTTAGGATTTCCTCATCTAAATACAGTGTCCTCACGGTAGGCCACAGAAACAATTAGTGTGATGAAGGCATCGACCCCCGGGGCCGGGAACAGCCCAAGTGTGAAGATGATGGGACGGGGCCTCCCTTTGTGGTCAGCCAGTGCCCTGGAGTGGAGCCAGGCCAGTCCCCCTGCTGGCACCTGCTGGCTGTGGCTTGTGGGAGCCTGCGTCACCCCACAGACCTAAGGGAAATGGCCACCCTGACATCTTCCCTTGTCATCAATGCCCGGCTTGTGGTCGTGTAGTAAAGCAGTTTGAACCATCGTCTAGGCAGTCCCAAGATTTAAAACCAGGTGAGAAATATTCCCATTCCTGCTTTGGGGTTTGGTATCATCACTCTCAGCAGTAGTCAGAGCCCTCCCTGACCGTCCCCCTGAGGAACCCCAGCCTGGCAGCTGGCCAGAGATAAGCATCGTTCCCACTTCCTCCAACCAACACTCCCCTCCTCCCCGGCACGACCAGCCATCCTTACTGGGCAAATTGAGATGGCATCATGGCTCATGAAAATCACCCTCCCTCTGGCTAGGTGGACCCCAGGGACCCAATGACCCATCCACCCAGGCTGGCAAAGCAGAGGAAAGATGAGTGCGTGACCAGCCTGGAGCCAACCCCCGCCTGGGAGATGCGTCTTCTGGCAGCCAGAAGGTCTCTCTGGGAGGTTTGCCGGATTCCCAAAAGAAAGGGGAGCTCATGCTTAGAGGAATGTTCCCAAACACTGGTCCGCAGGTATATGCTGCCCTGAGACAGTCTGAGTGCACAGAAATCGAAGCAGAAGACTGTCTTTTATACTAAGAGTATGACCTACCTTCAGTCTACGTGTTAACATTTCCTTTGTTTATGAAATGATGGTGACAGTCTGTGAGTCACTGTGTGTGGCGGGGTGGGCGTGCATTACACAGCACGGTGCTGGACGCTGGAGCCACGGCACCGGCTTTCAGATCCTTGACCCAGTGCTGCACTTCTAGGTGTGGGACTTTGCACACGTCATTCAAACTCTCGGTGCCTTGGTGCCTGTAAAATGGGAATGATCATAAGGTGGTTGTGAATTTTAAATGAAATAGGACACATAAAGCACTTGGAACACTTGGGAGCAGTTTTCATTAAATGTCGGCCATGCTGGACCTGAGTTTCTCCTATCACTGAACTGCTCCCTGAAATTCCGATGTCTGAGAATCTCCAGCTAAAAGATTCAATTTCCCTTACGTGCAGTTGCAGGTGGGCAACACGCGTGCACACGCATGCGCATGCATCTCACGCCTGCAAAAGTGAAAAGCAACGCTTGGTCACATGCAATTGACTTAGAGTCTGGGCATCTTGGGTGCCCTGGAGGGGAGGGAGATGACCTGGTGTAGCAGCTGGGTCAAGTTCTTGTGGCATATTCTACCCAGTTTATTCCCAGACCGGGGAGGTCAATCCCTGTGTCTCCGATGCCAGTAGTGTAATGTTTTACACCTGTTTGCTTACTTACGGAGGTAACACTCACCTCTGCCCACAGGTCACCTCTCTGTTCTCCTCAACCCCAAAGCCATCTTTCGGGGCTTCCCTGGGAATGTGTCGTCCTCCAGGTCCCAGTGCTTGTGTGCCAGCAGGTCCTGCCTGCAGACTGGGGTAGGGGTTGGGGGCACTAAAGGGCTGAAGGACTGACCAGGGAAGGCTTTGTGCTGGGGCCTCCTGGATGCTCACTCGAGACAGGCACCGACTGCACTGCGCTGGAAGGAGACCAGGGAGCAGCAGCAGCCTAGGAAGAGCAGATGGTCCCCGGCCCCCACCTGGCCGCTGAGCGCGCTCCCCTGAACAGCCCAACATCGCCACCGTGTGGCCAGCAGCAGGAACAGCGGCCTCTGCGGCCCCAGGGTGCATGGCTCCCGGTCTCTGGAGACCTCCAAACTGGGCTCAGGATTTGAAACTTAAACTCTTTCACAAAGTTTGTCCTAACTAATCCAATTTCACTGTGATTCGTGCAGAATCTAGGTCAGGGTCAGACTCCCTGTGGCTACAATGGGCAGGACCGGAGTTAAACATTCATGAAACTACATGCTTTTGATTAGTGGCTAAAACAACTGAGATACAAGGTAGCTTTGGGGGAGCAGAGATGTATCATCTCAAGATCCCAGCAACAAAAACAGCTAGTCAGGAGGAAAGACTCCACGGGGGAGCACCGAGATTGTGGGGGCCCAACCCCAGCGCTGTGCTCTCTCCCTACCCAGGCCTCTGCACGGGGTCTGCCCCCTGCTCGCCCAGCCACCCCTCCTCTCACTGTCCAGACCTCAGCCGCAGCAGCGACCCCCTGGGGGGGGCAGGTCAGTAGAGACCCACGCAGGCCTCTGGCCGATGTCCACTGTCAACTCAGATTGTCTGTACCAGTCATGACTGTCTTCATTAGAGCTATCAGCAATGTGTCTGATGTCTGACTTCCCGCTGGTTAAGGATTCTAGCCTACTCTGATCCCCAGTCGAAAGTAACTTGGCTCCATAATCTTTTTTTTTTTTTTTTTTTGGGCAAGAGTCTCGCTCTGTCACCCCAGCTAGAGTGCAGCAGCGTCATCATTGCTCACCACAACCTCAAACTCCTGGGCTCAAGTGATCCTCCTGCCTCAGCCTCCCGACTAGCTGGGACTACAGGCATGCGCCACTGCATCTGGCTGTTTTCTATTTTTTGTAGAGATGGGGTCTTGCTCTTGCTTAGGCTGGTCTTGAACTACTGGCCTCAAGTGATCCTCCTGCCTCAGCCTCCCAGAGTGCCAGGACTACAGGCGTGAGCCACCGCACTAGCTTCCATAATCTTTTTAAAGGCATTGATACTCCACTGATTTTCCAGGGATCAAATGCTTCTCTAAATTCAGCCTTGTTCCCGCCAGGATGCCAGGGCCAAGGGCATGTCTGCAAACCCCAGCTCTGGGTGCCCCGTGGAGTGCTTGGGGATGCCATGGGTCCATGGCACTCGAAGTGGCAAGACCCACTGCTAGGACAGCACTTGTCAAACTTCATCATGTGTTAGAATCACTTGGAAGGCCTCTCAGAGTGCAGACCACCGGCCCCCGACTGAGTTTCCAATCCGGGAGGTCTGGGTGAAACATGAGACTGTCCCTGAGTCCCAGTGGCCCCAATGTCCCTGCCCAGGGAGCACACTGAGAACCAACCGCTGTCACAGTTGGCACGCCTCGTCACCACCCCAGACCTCCCACTGAGTGTCCTGGAGAGGGTGGGGGTGATCCTGAAGGACCCATCTGTGACCCATTCCCCACATGGGAAACTGAGGCTGCTAAACCACATCAACCTGGAAGAGGAGAACCGGAGCGAGACGCTGCCATTGGAGAGCAGGCATCTTCTGACAGACTTCGCAGGAGTCTTCTGACAGCCAGGCCTGGGTATCCGACCGGGGAGTGAGCTGACAAGACAGATGTCAGGCCACAGAGGAAAGTGAGGGTGCTGTGGGTGGCACAGGCTGGGCTGGCTCCCTGAACTCCACGGTGCGGGCAACCACGTCCACACTTGGGCTAAGCTCCGGCCACCAACATTCACGCACACTTAGGAACCAGATCGCACACGCGCCGCGTGGAACCTGTCCATTTAATGGAGTCTCGTGCTCATCACCTGCACCGGGACACTTCTGTGCAAGACAGTCCGGAGGAAGTGACCATGTCAGGGGAGAAAAGGAATGACATTTTCCATGGTACAGTCTGCGCAGTCTTTTGGGGTCACCTTCATTCTTTCTACTTCCCGCACCTTGGTAAGAACAGATCTTCTCTCTCTTCCCTGGGAGGAAAATCCAACGTGAACACGTGCGCGGGTTCTAGACAAAGCCTTTCTTTCCCTCCAGAGAGTGAGACACTCAGGCTAAAAGGAAAGAGGCAGCCAAACCTCACCTCTTCTGAGAAGTCTTGCTGGATTGCTCCCACCAGACCGTGTCCTTTCCTCCATTTTGTTTCCATAGTCATGGAGAGCAAAGACCACTCGTTTATGAAATGCATACTAGCGTCTTCTAGAAACAGGCCTGACCTGGAGACACAGCGATGAGCAAAGGCCACCCCTCTGCCCTCAATGACACTGGCCATGTGATCACTCTCCCTACGCCGTGCCTCTTCCCCAGCTCGCGTGGTGCCTCAACATACAAGCAGCCCTCAAGTGTCCCTTCCGAAGCCCCCTAACTCCTCCCCAGATCTCTGACACTGTCCCTCTGGGCCACCCCAAGCAAGGAGAGAATGTTTCACATCGATACATAAAAATCACGGGGATGGCACAGGAGGTGTGGGTGCCCTCGAGCAAGGCGGCTTCATTCCTCCAAGGCCTCGGGACCCATCCACTCAGCCCAAGCTGGACAGGTGGGCTTCATGCACGGCCTCGTCTGTGTGTGTGCACACGTGCACGCATTCACACGCATGCACGCACACACGAGCACACACATGCACGCACAAACACATGCACAGTTCACATGACCACCTCCCCACCAAACGCAAAGCCGCACTTCCTCCCATCTCCCTCTGACGAAGATCCTCCCCCTCCTAGGTTGGGCCCAGGCCCAGGCAGCAGCCGCATCCCCTGCCCGTAACTGGCCAGGCTCCCCCGCCAGCCTGGGTGCCCTCCTCTCCGGGCACCAGGCCCCTGAGCTCGGAAGCTATGGTAGGAGCAGGAGCACGGCCCCTTGCTGGCCTGGAGGAGACAAGGCACAGGGACCCCGCTCCGCCGGACTCCAGTTTCTTGCAAACAGAGCTAGAAGGAAGGAGAAAGGAGGGCCCAACTCTAGTAAGAAAAAAAAATACTTAAAAAGAAATAAAATGTTTTACTCATATACACAAACACACACACTGAAGCCCACCCTGGGGGCCGGTGAAACAATTCCAATCTTAGGCCTGTTTCCCAAGGTTCTTCGTGCCTGGGTTTCCTGATGAGTGTGACCCCAGGACCCCACTGCCCGGAGCCTGCAGCCCCACCTCCACCCAGGAAGTCCCGGGAGCTGGCTGCGGCTGCTCCTTGGAGACAGAGGAAGCACATCTGCAGGGAAGAGTCCTGGCCCAGCTTGGGGCTGCAGGGGGAGGCTGTGTCTGCAAACCTTTGTCCCCAGCTGGGCCACCAGCACCACCAGTGTCCTCCCCTCCTCAGCCCCAGCCCCGCTGTGGAGCTCAGTCGGGGGCGGGCTCTCCGGCACGCAGTCCTGGGGATGCCGTTCACAGTCTGGGTTCTGGGGGCCCAAGGCAGGGATGCAGTAAGCGGTCCAGGCAGCCTGCAGGTGTGCATGTTGGCGTGCCCGGTGAGCGGCCCTGCAGGTAGGTGTGTCCGGTGGCCCCAGAGATGTGCACGTTGGGGTGGGCGGCCCCTGCGCCTACACCCCAGTTTGCTCTTTGATCCAGGCGCGCAACACAGGGAGCCTCGTGTACACGCCTGGCTTGTTCCTCTGCGCACAGCCTTCCCCCCAGCTCACCACGCCGGCCTGGAAGATCCGCCCGTTCGCCTCCACGCTGGACAGGGGGCCCCCGGAGTCACCCTGAGCAGAGACAGGCCTGCCGTGAGCCCCTGCCGGAGCCCCTGCCCCGCCGTGGCCCGCCCGCCGGTCGCCCCTGCCGCCCGTCAACGCACCTGGCAGGCGTCCACGCCGCCGCTGAGGAAGCCCACGCACATCATGCGGGGCGTGATCTGCTGCGGCAGGAGCTTCTCGCACGTGGTCTGGTTGATGACGCGGATCTCGCCCTTCTGCAGGACCAGCGCCGCGGTGCCTGCGCAGAGGGGCAGGGCGGGCGGGTGAGCGGCTCACAAATGGTTAAGTAACTGAGGGCACATCTGGGAGGCAGCCGCAGAGAGTAAGCGGGGACATGCTGAAAATCTGTCATGTGCTGTGAGATCCAAAGACACCGCGGTGACCAGGGCCAGGAAACAACAATCGGGGAGACAGAGAACGTGCACGAAGGCCGCCGGGTTTTGTCAGGGCAGCAGAGCTGCCGGGCTGGCTTGTGCTTTTTCCTCTCTACTCTACACCTTGCCTGCAATGTGTTACGTTAATATTATAGCAGATTCTTTTCAATCTAGCATTTGCCAACTAACGCCTGCTTCCCTCAGCCACAGCAGAAGGGCCAGGTGGCAGTGGAGGTGGCTCCCGTGACGGGGCGTGACGCAGGCACCGCTCAGGAGGCCGCTCTAAGTCCCAGAGTGCTTCAGACCCACCCTCTGGCATTTCTTAAGGACCATCTGGGAAGGCGTTTCCATCTTCGTTTTGCAGATGAAGAGACAGGGTCAGGGAGTTTCAGCACCTTGCCTAGGTCCCCCAGGTACTGAAGGGGCACGGCCAGGCTGTCGGGCCTCCAACCCGGAGCCCAGCCCGTAAATCCGACACCCTCCTGACAGACACCTCCGTTCCCTCCCTGGACAGGCAGAGGGAAAGGGGGCAGGTGAGCCACCAGCCCAGAGGCCAGCAGACGCCGGCTGCCTTGGCTGGAAACGCAGAGGCAGCAGAGAACAGGCAAGGCCCCAGGTGCTCTGCAGGTCCCCGGCCCCGCCCGAAGCTCACCTCCCTGCTGGGTGTGCCCCCAGCCTGTGACCCAGATGGCCTTGCCCGCCGGGAAGACGTGGGAGGCGTCGGGCAGGCAGATAGGCCGCACCACGGAGCTGTACTCGGCTGGCTGCTCCAGCTCCAGCAGCGCAATGTCGTAGTCGAAGGTGTAGTCGTTGAAGGAGGGGTGGGGGACGATGCGCTTGAGCCTGCGCTCCTGCACCTCCGGGGCGCTGCGCTTGCTCTGGTCGTGCAGGCCCAGGAAGGCCGTCCACTGCTTCGGGTCGGAGTACCTGGGAGGGGGAGCCGCCGCGAGGCCGTGTGAGGACGCCGGGTCCGCGCACGTGGGCGCCTGCCGAGCGCTGCGAGGCCTGGAGAAGGCCGCTCCGCGCAGACCAGGCGCCAGCAGCTGCGGTGCGGGGTGGGGGCAGGGCTGGCCTCTTTCTCGGTCTTGCCCCTAAACTGGAAACTTTACTAAGTGCCTCCCTCTGCAGCAATAAACCCTTCTTGACCTCCTTCCCCCCTTCTTTGAATACGCTTTTAATCTGATTATCAAAAAACAGGCATCCCGTGAACCTGATCTTCCCCAGAAGGAGTGACACAAAAATCAACCCAAATAATTTCTGAACACATGGCATATATCCTAAGACCAAAATGAACTGAAAACTATATTGAGTTTTATGTACCAGGTGTTTGTTGGCAGTGGAATAGGGTTAGCGATTCTGAAACTGTATCACCTACAGGAGGACTTGGCAAGACTCAATACACAGGTGTGTCCGGGAGCCACCTCCCAGTGTGGGGACAGGGACACACAGACACGCACTGGGATCTGAGGTGTCAGTAAAAACTGAAGATTTTTAAACAATTGCCTAAAAGCAATGCCCTCCCCAGTAGCGCCCAGAACTTGGTTTCCAAGTGCCCTTCTCTACTGAAAGGAGCCAGCGTTCCCTGGAGAAATGACTGATTTCAGATCTGGGGCAGCGAAGGCGTAAGGCGAACCTGGAGCACTGTGTTTCTGCAGGAAGTGAGCGAGCACTCAAACCCCGGCGCGGCCAACCTGACAAAGCCCTCACTGGCTACAGTCAAGATAACACGCACACCAGAATAAATAACAGCACGGTGAAACTATTACACACTCAGAATAAAACAGGGTGGGGGGTGCAGCAGCCCACCCTAAGTCTAAAATGTAATTTCAAAAAAGCTTATGAGGGAAGAAGAAAAGCTATTCTTTTTTTCTTCTTTTATTTTTTGTAGACACAGGGTCTCGCTCTATTACCCAGGCTGGTCTTAAGCTCCTGGCCTCAAGTGATCCTCCCGCCTCGGCCTCCCAAAGTGCTGGGATTATAGCTGTGAGCCACCGCACCTGGCCGGGAAAGCTATTCTTTCTAGAGAAAAACCAGCTGCTAAATTTAGAAGCAATCATACCCTAAGGAATCCCATTTGGACCTGCCACAGCAACGATCTGCACACCCAAGAATCATCGGCAGCAAATGCCGGGCCGATGGGCGCAACTGCTGGGGCCCAGACACTTTCAGTCGTTCAAAGTATCACCCGACATGATGCATTCATAACCAAGGTGGACAGTCCCTTCATGATGGAGAACCTGGTGGACCCCACCTGAACCAGGTACTCGGGCTCCTCTCCCAGCCCCCTCACCACCCAGCAGCACGTGCGTCCTGAGAGGCTGTGCGTCACCTGTATAGCGCTTCTCAACTCAGACCGCGAACAACAATCAGGAAAGTCCAAACCAAGAGACATCCTGCAAAGTAACTGGTCTGAAAGTTCCAGAAACACCAATGCCATAAGAGACTACAAATAGAAGGCTTGGAGGAACTACCCTAGACTAGAAAGAGTCTAAAGAAACCTCATGATGCAGTATAAGGCGTGACCCTTGACCGTATCCTAGAATTTTTCAAGGCCGGGCACTGTGGCTCACGCCTGTAATCCTAGCACTCTGGGAAGCCAAGGCAGGAGGATCGTTTGAGCCCAGTAGTTAGAGATCAGCCTGAGCAAGAGTGAGACCCCATCTCTACTAAAAATAGAAAGAAACTGGCTGGACAACTAAAAATATATGGAAATAATTAGCCAGGCGTGGTGGCGCATGCCTGAAGTCTCAGCTACCCAGGAGGCTGAGGCAGGAGGATCGCTGGAGCCCAGGAGTTTGAGGTTGCTGTGAGCTAGGCTGACGCCACGGCACTCACTCTAGCCCGGGCAACAGCGAGACTCTGTCTCAAAAAATATAAAATAAAATAAAATATGGCAATTCCTGGTGGCTCACGCCTGTAATCCTAGCTACTCGGGAGGCTGAGGCAGGAGGATCGCTTAAGCCCAGGAGTTTGAGGTTGCTGTGAGCTAGGCTGATGCCACGGCACTCACCCTAGCCCGGGCAAAAGAGTGAGACTCTGTCTCAAAAAACCTAAAAAATAAAAATAAAATAAAATAGAAAATGTGTACGATAGAGAAAAGCATAAAAAGACGCTTCATTTCCCCTGACCTCTTGGGGGGTCTCAAGGCGACGGAACCGTCCACCACAGCACCTCCCTCCCCCTGACGCCAGACCGGGCCTCTTCCTCAGCATCCCTCCCCGCCGGACCCACACAAAGCCTCTCTCGCCCTCCCTGCCGTCCCTGCAGCACCTCCCTACAGAATCGCATGCCCAGAGCAAAGTGGTGGCCGCCATGTGGGCCTCTGGTCCCTGTCCACTCTACTCTGTTGCTGCCAGAAGATAACTTCCTAGCAACTGCTTTTGTGAGATCCTTTCTGTCTTATTCCCAAGATCTAAGACAATTCTCTGCCAAGTGAGGCCCCGGTGCCCGCCCAGTGTCCACCCATCGATTCACTCCGTAACTGCCGGGCATCTAAATGTCCCACAGTTGTGCTAGAGCCAGACCTCACGCTCACGGTGCACGTGGGGGAGAGAGACGAAAGCCACCGATTACAGCACGAAGTGAAAAGTGTCCCACAGAGGACTGGCAGGAAGCTGTGGAAGAGGACAGGGTGGGAGTCAGGAACCAAGCCCTGACATCAAACAGGACCGGCCAAAGCTGCGGGTGGGGGAGAAAGCAGCATATTTAAAGAGAGCGAAGAGAATGTTCAGGAAGCCCCTAAATTGAATATGGGGAAGGTGTGAGGGCAGGACAGGAGACTGAGGCTGGACAGACAGGCAGGGGCCGTGCTAGACACGGGAAGGAGTCCTGCTTCATCCTGTAAGCGGCGGCGGCAGGCACTGACGCGGGAGACCGACGTGACCAGACTTGGGAAGAGCGCTCTGGCCTCGTGGGATGTGGCCCGGCGTGTGAGAGGCGAGGGAGGAGGTGGCAGAGGTGCTGAGCCACCTGGGCCAGGGCGCCCAAGGCAGTAGCAGTTTTGCCATTTGGAAAACAGCAGAGATGTTTCAGGGACATCTCTGAATGAGAACTTGGGAGGCCAGGGCGCTGGACCGATGTGGTGGGATGGGGCGAGAGCAGAGCCACCCTGGTCCCCTCTGGCCCCATCCACTGGGATCCCGAGCTCTCTGCCCCGCGTCTGCAGCTTTCCACCTCCCTCCCCCACGCCAGCCCCGACAGCCAACAGCCCGGGCTGCAGCCCCTTCCCACCCCCGTCCTTCCCGCAGCCCCTTTTCCCCCCACAGTGGTCTTTTCCCTGAAGCCAGCACAGCTAGGACAGTATCTGGTCACATCAGCAGACCGTCTCTGCTTGTTTACGGTATGCGCTGCTACCAGCAGCTGAGACCGGTTGTGGAGAGGCAGCCATCAGGTCTCCCACGGCGACGCCCAGGGGCTGCAGAGCAGCCGGGAGTGGCCAGCACTCAGGCAGAGCTCCGCTCAGCGCCGGCACACTAAGTCATTTTACCCCCAAACGCCCTGCAAGGTAGGGCCGCCCTTTTTAAGAAGAGGACTCAGGCACTGACAGGCTTAGTAACTTGCCCAGTATCACACAGGTAATATGTCGTCACAGGCCACAGTTTGGACCCAGGCAGCCTGTGCTCTTACAACATTATACCCGCTCTCGGCAACCCATTCACAGAAACCCGACTCCAGGGCCCCGCGCACTCCACACCGCCCTGCCTCCGCACACGAGGAGGGTCTGAGCCACTGGCCAGGCTGGCAAACACCCTCGCCCTTCCTTTCGTTCAGACTCCCTGCTCGTAAAGGTGCTCCCAAAAGTCTCTTGGGCAGAGCGCTAACTCCACACACGCTGGGCCCGAGGTAGCCACACACGGTTCTGGCAGCAAGTGCATGTGTGTGCGTGTGTGCGTGCATGCGTGTATGTGTGTGCGTGTGTGCATGTATGTGTGTGCGTGCATGTGCGTGCGTGTGCCTGCGCATGTGTGTACGTGTGTGCGTGCATGTGTGTGCGTGTGTGCAAGTGCATGCATGTGTGCGTGTACGTGTCCGTGTGTGCGTGCGTATGTGTGCACGTTTGTGTGCACATGTGTGCGTGCGTTTGTGTGCGTGCGTTTGTGTGCGTGCGTTTGTGTGTGTGTGTGTGCATATGTGCGTGTGCGTGTGTGTGCATGTGCGTGTGTGTGTGAGACATCTCTCCCCACCTGGCAAGTCTGCAAAGTACAGTCTGCAGAGACCAAGCCTTGCTCGTGTGCGTCTCCCTAGCGCTGACAGTAACAGTGGCTACTGAATGTATCGATTGCACTATTAACTGGCAGGCGTAGACTGATACCAACGGAAGGAGGAAAAGGAAACGAGAAATGAAATAGTGAAGCAAAGGAAAAGAGGCGGCGGTGGTGCGTGAGGGCAGGGTGAGTTGTCAGCAAGCACACACACGCCTGTCGCCCACCGCGACCTGCCCAGGGGCCAGGCACAGCAACACCGGGACGGGAGCACACTGAGCCACCACCTTGGTTTCTAAATACCATCCCCCAGTAGAGGGCTCCTTAGAGAAATGGCTGATGCTAAGGGCTGGGGCAGGGAAAATCCGAGACAAGCCCAGAGTACCCGGCAGTGCCAGAAAGCAAGGAAATGGCTCAAAAAAGCAAAAGGACGAGCACGTCAAAGAAACACAGAAGCCAACCTCCAAGAGCTCCTGGTGGTCACATCTGGAACAATCTGAGCAACAAAGTAAATGTCATGGTACTGGATTACAACCCCAAACATAAAACGAATATATGGGTCCATACAAATATAAACAAATGATTAAATAAACGGGAGAGAAGGGACAAGCCTTCCTCGCAGAATTCCAAGTGAACTCACATCGAAGATCAGAGCATAGAAAGGAGAAAGCCAGCGAAGACTCCCTGAGCCAAATGAGAAAGGCTAACCAGCGACAAGTCATGTTGGCGTCATTTACTGCCGGTATGACGTGATGCTCTTTCCAAACATTCACGACCCCAGTGCACTCACGAGAAGACCGTCAGACACACCCAGACTGGGAGGACACCCTTCAGGACACGTGGCCTCCAGACTAGCAGGAACAGACGGAGAAACTGTCACCACCTGGAAGAGGCTGGAGACAGGATGAGACGCAATGTGCCAGCCTGGCCCAGGTCCTGGCACAGAAAGGAGGTCAGGGCAGGAGCCCCGTGAAGCCTGGAGCTTAGTTAACAGTGAAGGGCCAATGCTGGTTTCTTACCGTTGACAAACACGTCGACGAGGGTGCTTGGTGAGGGGTATTAGGGAATTCTGTGCCATCTTTGCAACTTGTCTGGGTTCCAAAATAATTTACTTAAAAAAATTCTTAAAGAAGCTCTCATCACCCCAAAAAGAAAATCACTCCTGCCCAAGGTGGAGTGGAGTGTGACAAAATGACGGTCTCGGGCTGCACCAGGCTGCTCTCCAAGCACCCAGCGAGGCCCAGGGACCATCGAGCTGGCTCTGCTTCCTCCGGGCTTTTGCCAGCCATCTCCACGACGCATGCAGGGCGCATCTGCCTGGCCATGGGCCACATCTGTGCCTGAGGCCTCCTCCCCGTGGTGGGCCCATCTCTCCTCCCTGCGGACGGCGGCTGCTCCTGGAGCTGCCTACGCAGGAGAGCACGCAGCCAGCAGGAAGTGCCTGCCTTCCGAGGGTGGGTCTCCCTGGAAGGCCTGTGCCCCCGTGCCTGCTTCTTCAGAGTAAGCTGTCCCCTGAGACTCCTTCCTGCAGCCCATGACCGGAGGGCCTGGGTAGGCCAGGAGCTGAGACACAAATGGCCCGAGCCCTGCAACCTGGCCCGTTCCTGCTGATTCTCTGGCCTCCCAGACCCTGGCCCCTGCCTACCTATCATGGGATGTCAACGTGACCCTTCCTTCCAGGCCTCTCGTCTGCCATGTGTCGGAGGCTACGATGTCCTGAGCACCTACTATGCGCTAGGCCCAGTGCTAAGTGTCTCACGCACAGCATATTTAACTCTCACAGCTCTAAGGATGAGCACTGATAACATTACCGTCATCAGCGAAGAACCCAAGGCCTGGGAAGTTCGAATAGTTTGCTCAAGGTCGCCTGCAAGTGGAGCTGGAACACCGAATCCAAGGCTGGTCTCGGCCAATCCCAAGGAGTGGAGCAGCGCAGGCTTCGAAACCAGCACGCCCGGGCTCCAGTCTGGCTCTGCCACTTAACAGCTGTGCAACCCCAAGCAAATGTCCTCACTTCTCCAGACCTTAGTTTCTGTCTGACGAGGATATAATCAGATCTGCCTAACCAACCTGTTAGGAGCTGTTAGGAGAGGTGCAGAGATAGGGCTTGACTGAGAGTGGGAACCTAATAAAAGTGCGTTTCTTTACTGCAATTGCTAATCCTTGTCCTGGGACGTCTGTCCAGCCCACCCTGGCATGACTCACAGACACAGGGGCCTGCGAGGAGGCTCCCTGCTGCACACCCACCTGAATCCTTTGTCGTCAATGTAGCAGTGGGCTGCGGACACCAGCCAGTTGGGGGAGATGAGCGACGCCCCACAGACGTGGCCCTGGCCCAGGACGTGCAGGCTCACCTGCCAGGGCCACTCGCCCTCCTCTGCGTCCGTGCCCCCGACGACCCGGGCCTGTTTGCTGAACGACCGCAACCCACAGTCTGCAGAGGGGACAGAGAGCAAAAGGACAACATAACCCTAAGGGGACACGCACCAGTACAGTGAGACCCCACTTGGGGAAGTCACCTTTCGGGGTGCATAGCACTGTGGGAGCAGACACAGTGTGAGGGACCCCCTAGAACTACTTTTGAGCATCACAGACCCTCTGACTCCCACCTGCCCTCCCACCCCCAATTCGAAACTCTCACCCCGCCCCGCCCGCCCCCGGCGGCAAGGGGCCTCCAGATGCCTGCTGGTTTGCTTAGATTTAATTTGAGTGTCATTTGCCTAGATTTCCTCACTGAATGCTGAAGGGCACAGCTCTCAGGGGAAAGAGCAGATGGGTGACATGAAGTCACAGAATAGCTGCAGCTGTTCTCAAACTTAACCCGTGGCCAGTCCTTCTGAAATACACAGAGGCTGCAAATTCAACTACGCGGCGGGTGAGGGTGAAACCCTGCCCAGTGCCTGGGCAAGCCGGGCCGCGCTTCTCCAGGCCCCTCCTCCGTGGCCGCGTCTACAGGGTAAGGCTCAGCCCGGCACCGCCGCCAGGAGCCCGGGCAAGCCACGGAGGCGCTGACGTGCTGGCTGCCCGGGTCCTTTCTCCAGGACCAGAGTTGGCCTGTGGGGCAGTGCCTTTGTGCCAACTGGCAAAGTCGCCCTTTCCTCCTGGGGACACACCTCACCTGGGCACAGAGCTGGGTGATCGAGGTGCCGGTGGGACTGCCGCCTCCAGAGCACCCGTAGGTGGGCGGGTACCCTGCTCAGTGAACAACCTGCACAACCATGCTCAGGGCCCCTGCTCACCACAGTCCTTCTCATCCGAGCCATCGCTGCAGTCTTCTGTCCCGTCGCACTCGGGGTTGCCCTTGCTCACGCAGAGCCCGTCCTGGCAGCGATAGGTGTGTGTGGTGCAGCTGACCACTCTCACTGTTCAGGGAGGACGACACGGGGAGGGAATCAATCCACAGCATCCAAGCCGAAGCTGGGGCCAGTGCCAGCAAGCCCGGGATGGCACCTCATGATCCACCCACCCAACACCCCCCACCCAGCCACACCCACATCCACTGTCCCTCCAGCCCTGCTATAGGTTCTCCACCTTCCAGAAGGTCCTCTCCCCACTGACGCCCTTTCTCATCACACTGAACACACAGGTGGTTTGTTTATTATGCTCTGGGCGCGCGGCATGTGAGCGTGCCCACGGCGGCTCCTCGGGGAGCACCTTCACTAGGACGAAAGCCCCCCCAGCAGCAAGTCAGGTGGGGCCGGGCCTCACCACTGACACAGGTGGCTTCATCTGAGCCGTCCCCACAGTCGTCCTTCCCGTCACACTGCTGGCTCTCTGGGAGGCACTTCCCGTTGGAGCACTTGAAGGTCTGATCTGGACAAGCTGGGGACACACGAGGACTTAGCGACCTGCCCCTGCCGGCACCAGCCCAGCAGGGAAGCCCAGGCCCACCCCCCACCTGTACCCACTACACCTGGGCTCGCCCCCACCACCACTCCCTGCACCCAGGCCCACCTACTTCCACCTGCACTCCCTGCACCCAGTCCCACCCCAGCACCACTCCCCGCACCCAGGCCCACCTACTTCCACCTGCACTCCCCGCACCCAGGCCCACCTACTTCCACCTGCACTCCCCGCACCCAGGCCCACCTACTTCCACCTGCACTCCCTGCACCCAGGCCCACCCCCGCTGGCACTCCCTGCACCCAGTCCCGCCCCAGCAGCACTCACTGCACGTCAGCTCATCGCTGTTGTCCCCGCAGTCGTTCATGCCATCGCAGACCCAGAAGAGGGGCTTGCAGAACTTGTTGGTGCACGTGAACTGGTGGGAGGCGTTGCACCCTGGCGCGGGGGTGAGGGCGGGGTGAGCGCGGAGGCTCAGCCGCCTGCCTACCTGGGCAGCCACGTTGGGGGTGGGGGGACCGCCTGCCCTTCCGGAGAGCAGCCTGGCGCTCCCTGCAAACCAGCTACAGAAGCTGACCTCTGCGCTCTGGAAAACTCCACTGCCTGCTCCCACAGAGACCAAGAGCTCCAAACGCAGGGAGAGGGGAAGGGGCCAGATGTCTCTGCACAGCGGCTGAGGACAAACTCCCGCCACCTTGGGCCTTCCTGCCACAGGGGTCGGCTGGCAGAAGCCAGGGGACGCGGTGAGGGCAGGTGGGGACAGGCTGGGGCTCCCAGCCCAACTCACGGCAGTCGAGCTCGTCGCTGTAGTCGGTGCAGTCGGCCCAGCCGTCGCAGCGCAGCGACTTCTCGATACACCGCCCCGTGTGGCACGTGAACTTCCCGGGGCACGCTGCGGGGCACAGGTGGGCCTGAGGCGCGCACACACCGCCTCCCTCGGCCAGCTTCCCCTTCCCTCCCTCCCTTCCTCCCTGGGCCATCCGCACAGCCGCACTGAGCACCCGCGGCAAACACACACAGGAGCAGGGGTGTGTTGCTCCATGAATTAATACAAATATACTGGAGACAGAAACGTCTCAGCAGTTTTGCAGGGCTTTGCCCTGAAGGAATATGTGAACGTGCTGGTTTGCGTATCGAAAGCTGTTTCACCTCAGGAGGGCATCTCTGAAAGACTGGTGGCGGCTGCATCCGGCAGTGGCGCCGCGATTCTCAGACCTGGGGCTGGGACTTGTTTTGTAAAGCAAGGCAGGTCTGCTGGGAGCCACAGGAGGGGAGCTGATCAAAGAGTGCCCGCCGGCCGGCCGGCCCCTTTTGGTTAAATCAATGAGCCCAAGGGACAGTTCCTGCTTAAACTCCGGACTACCTGTCTCCACTCACAATAACCTGATAAAGGAAATACGGAGCCAATACATCTCTGTTTAACCCCTCTGCTAAGTGATGGATTTACCTGAGAACTTAGAAGTTAGCCTTTGAACGATTTTGTAATCATTTGTTCACGTAGAAATAGTTAAGGGATTTGAAGAAGCCTTTTGAAAAACTGCTAACCTAAGAGGAACTACCTGTTGGTATGTAAATCTGTTACCCCTGGCAACCGATCACTGTAACCTATAAATGCCTGTGTAAAACTTCACTCGTGGCCTTTTGAGACTGACGGAGAAATCCAGGCCCCCTGAGTACCCGCTTTGCCTATAATCTTTATAAATCTATAAGACCATACCTTCGTCTTTGTGTATTTTTTTATTTCCATTATTTTCCATTTTCTATTATTTTCTTATCCTTTGCAACGACCCTACCAAAGGGACCTGATTTTTTGCTGGGAGCATGGCCATCTCCCTGCAGGGGTGGAGCTCTGGGGCCAGGGCAGGCGCCACCCGAGCCCACTGAGCTTTGGCGAGGGGGCTGCTACACTAGCAGCCTGAGTGCGGGAGGGCCGGTGTGGGACCCTCCAGCTGGAAAGCCATAGGCACAGTGGAGAGAGGCTGGCTGGGTCGCAGGCCCTTCTACCGCCCTGTCCTGGACCGCCAGGTCCTCTGAGGCCGGGCTCCTCGTCTGCGACACAGGGCAACAGCAGCTCGGCAGGCCGGCGATGCATGAGTCCCATCCAAACGTAAAACGACGTCAGCCATTTCCTTCATTCTACCATATTTTCCACATTTCAATGTTTCTGAAATCGGGGGATATCTGACAACTGCTGCCATCGGGCAGATGACGACGCTGTAAGGCGGCCACTGTCAGCACCTCTGCACAGGTCTGCTTTGGTCACAGGTAAGTGTTTAGATCAAAGGTATTTGTTCATCCAATGATACCTTTGGTGGTAAGTCGTGCAAGCGAATTTTACCTTAAATTTGGACTCCTAAGATCAGTTAGAATATCTTCCAGAAGGTTATTCTATGACACAGGGTTGAAATAAAAAGTCGTCGTGTCTGTGGAAGAGCTGCTGTTCCCACGGCCAACAGTACTTTTTTTTATAAGCCAAATTTAGCAGTGGGGGGTCGAATACCAACTTGAGTGGCACTAATGTTAGTAAGTTCTGATAACCCACTACCATCGGACCAGCCAGTATTTTTCGGTATGTCTAAGAATTATACTATTAACCCTAAAGGTGCTAAAAGGCCACAAAGACAAGCCCAGATCGCCAAAGTCACGGTCACGCAGAAGCAGAGGGACAGATGGCCCATAGGAGCCCGGAGAGGAGGGCTTGGGTCCAGGTGCCACATGCTGGGACGACAACCCCAGAGTGCACCAGCGGCCACCACCAGCCTTCCTTAATAAATACACTAAAAGTAGCATGTTTTCCTCAAAGTTACTAGCGCGACACGCATCTCACACTCTGCGCTGTCTCGAATCAGTAAGTGTAATGCCAGCAAGAACGGGGCAGACAGCGATCTCGGGCGGGTCCTCTAACCAGGCCCTGCTCCTCACGACATCCACTCACGGTCACTGGAGTCATAGGAGAGGTATTCGGCCAGGAACCCGGTGTCCGTGTAGGACTGGTCCGAATGGAAGCGAACGGTGATCTTGCTGCTCTTGCTGGTAACCACAAACTGGGGCCTCTCTCCGCAGTACCTGCGGGGGCGGCGCAGGGTGAGGGGGGCAGCTCGAGATGGAGCACCAGGGGGCTCACGGGACCCCCTCCCCCCAGCACTGTGGGCCCGGGGCCCCCACGCCCCAGGGGCTCACTTTTCCCCGTTGATCTCCACGTAGTCCTTGGGGCAGGTGCCCAGGGGCACGTTGGGCTCCAGCAGGTAGAAGACTTCGAAGCGCAGCTTCACGTTCTTGTTGTTGGGCACCTGAAGAGAGAGAGGCCACTGGGACTCGGCAGCTCCTGTCCCTGTTTCCCAAACCCAAAGACGTCACAGGCGGTGGGGGGGTGGGGATGGCATGGAGCAGGGAGAGACACTATTCCATTACTAAGGAAGGACCGACGTTATTCCATTACTGAAGAAGCTGTTTGTTTGTTTGTTTAGAGGCAGGATCTCACTCTGTTGCCCAGGCTGGAGTGCAGGCGCATGATCATAGCTCACTGCAGCCCTGAACTCCGGGGCTCAAGTGATTCTCCCGCATCAGCCTCTTGAGTAGCTGGGATCATAGGCTTGCACCACCATGACCAGCTAATTTTTCTGATTTTTGTAGAAACAGGGTCTCACTATGTTGTCCAGGCTGCTCTCAAACTCCTGGCCTCAAGGGACCCTCCCGCCTCAGCCTCCCAAAGTGCTGGGATTACAGGTGTGAGCCACCACACCCGGCTAGATGAAGTTTTACTAAAAAAGCTCTCCTGGCATTTTGAAGAAAGGAAAAAGAGACGGCTGTCTGGGATGGTGTGAGGGGCACCTAGGGCTGACTCTCCTGTCTTGCTGCCATTTAACAAGTGCTTTCTCTGTGTTCCACACGGTCTGATCTCATCCAGACTGCACCTTGAAACAGGCACCCTCACCTCACTTTACCTAGGGGCAAGCTGAGGCACAGAGGGGATCCGTGACCGCCAAAGGTCCCCAGTGAGTCACCAGTCAGGAGCCGGGATCCGAGTGTGGGCCTGGTTGACACTATCACGCCCTCCCTTCCTCTGTCCTTCCTCACCTGCCCACCTGCAGCGTCCACCTCTGTCCCTCCCTCCCTTTCTCTCTCAGACACAGCCCGCAGCTCCTACCTCGATGTTCCACGTGCAGTCGATGTTGGGTGGGTAGTGGCCCGGGTAGTAGGGGCTGCTAAATGTCCCTTGCGCGTCACGTAAGTGGCCTCCGCAGCCTGGCAGGACAGGCAGGAGAAAGAGCGTGAGGACCGAGGAGCTGCTTGGCCAGGCAGGCGGCCGCAGCGGGCTCCTTGCCCAGAGGTCTCCAGCCGCCCCTGGGCACCCGGAGGCTGCACAGCGAGGTGCCGGCGGGTCCGGGCGCTGGCGAGCTCTAAGGAGGATCCTGCCCTGGGCGGCCGGCAAAGTGCCCTTTGGCTCCAGCTTCAACCTCTGTCACTGACCTGGGCCAGTTTCACGGCCACAGGGTCAAGCGGACCCTTGGGTCTAGGGCCTTCTGGATCCGTGAGTGCCGCCTTTTGCCTAAACCCAAATTTTACAGAACAAATCGTCTTAATAACGGGGTTTGTTCTGTGAAATTTGGATTGGGTCAAGGGGCCGCACCTGGGGATCCGGAGGGCCACATGTGGCCTTAAGGCCGCAGGTTCCCACCCCTGGCAGCCTATTGCCTCCTGGGCTGAGGTCACCCTCTGAGTCCCCGCCCTGCCCGGCCCTGCCTTACTGCTCATCTTTGGCAGCTGGAAGAAGGTGGCCTCAAAGCCAGGATGTCGCCGCTCAGTATTGGTTACCAGTGTGACCAGCAGGACGTTTTGGGAGGAAAGGAAGGTCAGGTTGTAGGACGGAGGGTAGGTGCCACACAGCCTGCGGGGCAGAGGGTGGACATTAAGGAGAGCAGCGGACCCGAGCGTCCACACGCCCGACCAGACTCCCCAGGCCGCGCGGTACGGGACCCCATCCCAGGCCCTGGTCCCATCCACGAAGGCCAAGGGCGGAGCTGTAGGGACCTCAGGCAAGTCCTCCCCACACAACCACTGATGCTGAGTAAGGACTTAGGGATGACACTGTTCACCTTGGTTTAAAATAACAAAGCCCTAGAAACAGTAAATGCCTACCAACAGAGGATTTGTTAACACATTGTCACACTACAGAAAAAATTTTTTCCTTGGGGCGACGGTGCTTTATTAGAAAAACAGAATAAAAACTTTGAAAACAAAACGATCCTTTCTAATTTAATGAAAAACTTGTCATTATTTATGGTTTTCTATGCGTAAGTCATATGTAACTTGAAAATTAGTTCTTGCAGCTCCCAAGGTGAAGAGACGTGTGAGTTATATATGTTTCACCCTGGGCTTAAAACTAGCGTGAGTTAAATACAACTCATGTGGCAGTTAATGTGTTAAATAAACTATAAGCTCAGTAATAACAGTGGTAGTAACAAAACTGCTGGCACAGTTCTCAGTGCTTTTATATCTATTAACTCGTAATCTTCATAACAACTCTATGAAATACATACTATTATCCCCACCTAACAGATTAGGAAACTGAGGCACAGAGAGGTTGCCCATGATTCCACGATTAATAAGCAGTGGGGCCGCGATTTAAACTCAGGCATTCTGGCTCCAGGGTCCACACTGTTAACAACTGTGTCACCCTGACTGTGTCACCTGCTTCTAACCAATGTGATGTTATGCAACCATTAAAAAACCAAGCTTAGGCCAGGCATGGTGGCTCACGCTGTAATCCCAGTAATTTGGGAAGCTGAGGCAGAAGGATCACTTGAGGCCAGTTCAAGACCAGCCTGGACAACATAATGACATCTCTACAAAAAATAAAACAATTAGCCGGGTGTGGTGGTACACGCCTGTAGTCTCAGCTACTTGGGAGGCTGAAGCAGGAGGATCACTTGAGCCCGGGAGTTCGAGGCTGCACTCCAGCCTGGGTAACAGAGCAAGACTCTGTCTTTAAAAACAGAAAAACAAAAACAAATTCATGCTTAGAGACAGGGTGACTGATGTGGAAAGATCATAATATACTTCATTTTTAAAAAGCAGATAACAAAACTGAACATACAATCCTATTGCACAAGCAGAATATAATCCTGTTTCTAAGCACACACAGAGTAAAAAAATCTGGGAAAGTATGAGGTATACATCGAACATGTAACAGTGGTGTATTTCTTTCCTTTTTTTTTAATTTTAACAATTTCATTTCTCCTACTCCTCCGTATTTGTTGAACAAACAGTGGTGTATTTCTAGGTAGTAAGATGATGAGTTGACTTTCATCCTCCCTTTGCTGATTCTTTTATATGGGACCATGTGTTTCTTTGCTGTACAATTACTAAATTAGAGAGAGAGAAAAGAAGTCCTGGCTGCTCAGCTGTGGCAGCAGATGGTTCTAGCTTGTTTTGGGACAGAATTTTAGCCCATTATTAATCACAAAACACCCACCCAGCTCATTTCCACGGAGAGCAACAGAAGGCTCTGGCCCAGCGGGCCAGGGAGCGGCAGCTCACCCCCGACCTGCGGCACCGCCCCGAGGGCTCCACCTGGGCTGGGGCGTTCACCTTGGCGCCCCACCCCCTCTGCATAAATCATGCTCTTTTATTTTCTGTAATTCTGGGGCTTTGGCATCTGGGGCCTTGCTGACCTGGAGAGTCTGCCCTCCTAGGGCCAGCCGATGCCTGGGGACAGTAAGGGGACCGTTCATCTGCAAACCAACCAGTCCAGGGCCCCCCCACCCCTTCCTCCTCTACCAAGATCTCACACTCGGGGCGACTATTCCTTGTCCAGATCATCCCAGGGCCAGGTACCGGACAAGGAGACACAGCCCCTGTGTTCCACAGCCCGCAGGAATCACCCAAACGAGCCAGTCCTAAGCCTGTTTCCATCTGCCTTGTCCTGCCTTTCCCAGGTACACCATAATAAAGGCTCTTGCCCACGTTTCCCCTCACGCCCTCTGCCTCCCCACCAACTCTGGCTCTTCCCCAGGTGGCCCGAGTGCCAGCTGTGCCATGCTGTGCCCCGCCCCTCCTCTTGAAACTGTGAGTAACAAACTGCCTCTTCAACAGCAGTCATCCTGAATAATAATAAAACCTACACTTTACAACCGCGGGCTGCCCCGCCTCTCCAGCAGTTACAGAAGCACACCCCGTTCACGATGGATTTGTCACCTAGAGACCGGTGGGCCTTCCCATCCTTGCCAAAGCTGAGGAAATCACCTCCCAGAAACTTGGCTGGAGCTCATGCTGAGGGTCACACCACATCTGTCCCTGCTGCCTGGAAGTCTGGCAGTGGCTCGTGGCCAAGAGTCATAAACCGTATCCCAAACCTACACTGCAATTTGTCCCGGAGCCCGGCCCCAGCAGAGATAGCTGCTCACCTCCCACCTCCACCCCGCTCTCTGGATACTCACTGCACCAGGGCGTGGGGCTCCATGGGGCTCAGGGTGTCATACACCATCACCAGGTCACTGCCATACTCGTCGCAGGATGCGACGTCAAAGCTGCGGAAGGTGAGGCTCAGTACCGAGTCGGCATCCCCACGCAGGGCCCACTGGCAGCGGGCACGAGCTGGGTAGGGGCTGTCGGGGAAGCCGGGCGTGGTGAAGCGAGTCAGCTCCCCGCTGCGGGTGTGCAGGGCAAAGCGGCAGCTGTCTGTGCAGGAGACAAGGAGGAGGGCGTGGGCGCGGACAAGGCCGGGCAGAGCTGGGAAGCAACCCCGAGACCCGGTGGGGGTGCACCCCAAGCCTGGCCCTTCTGAGACATCCCAGGCTGCCCTGGACCTTGGGAGACCAAGAAGGGGGCTTCTCAGCAGGGCCTGGAAGAGGCGGAGGGATCAGCCCCATGTGACTTCTGGGGACCCCCTGGCTCAAGGACGTCTGGCCACATCCCTCCTCCTCTCCATCCACAGGAGGAAAAGGGCATGATACTTACCATCCTGGGTCCTCTGTAATGTTCTGGGGTCAGTGGCTGAGAACAAGAGGCAGAATAAGGTCTTTACTGATATGGTCTATTTCCTTATTCCTGCTTCCTTATTATGGTAAGGGAGGTGCCCGGCCGGGCACTGGGCTATGGGCGCGTTGGTTCCCCCGCAATGGTCCCGGGCCCAGCCCCGCTCCACCTGCCCACCTGGGCCGCCCCGACTCACGGAAGGCCACCACCGAGGTCAGCACGAAGGAGTGGAGGGACCGCGCACGTGGCGGCAGCATGATCACCCGCTCCTCCGCCATGGCGCGCTCGGCGTCCTCCACCAGGTGCGGCGGGATGCTGAACTCCGACCAGTAGTAGGCGATGACGCTGCCCTCGCTGCGGGGACAGCCGCGGGCCTGAGATGCGGGGCTCCGGGCTCCCCCTTCCCCGCACACTCTCCCGGACCACCCTCGGGGCAGACTGCAGCCCGATGGGTCCGCCCCACTCTCCTGCACGCGCACCCAGCCTGCCATCCCCTGCAGAGATCGCCTCCCTGTCCTCTGCTCTCACGGCCTCACGTCCAGCCGGACGGACGGACTCTGGGCCCAGCTCAGGCTCAGGGCTGAGGAAAATACAAGGCGTTGGAGTTTGGCCACTAACTTGGGCACAGCAAGTATCACCTTCTTGCGCCTGTTTTCCCATCTGGGAAAGGGGATATGAATGCCACCTGCCACACGGCATCCCTAAGGATTCAGCTGAACATGCGACATAAAAAGTACTTTGGGAATAAAGTCTATGGGGGGGGCGGGGAAGGAAAGGGGAAAAAAAGTATGTTTGAAAACTGCCCAAGCACAGAAAATGTGAGGACTCACTGAAGCCTGCCTGAGCATCCCAAGCCCCCCAAACCCAAACGTGTAAAAATCACAACAAAGCACCGCCATTACTGGTAGTGCCAAGCACTCCACATGCCTTTGGGCACCTCATCCCGGCAACACTGCTATGGGCACCCCCGCCGGGAGACAGAAGACTCAGGCTGCTAAGCAACTTGCAGGAAGGACGGAACAAGGACCTGCCCTGGCTCTCCGAGCTAGGACCTCCAGCCTCCTCCCCTGGGGTCGGAGGACATTTAGGCACACAGACTGCACCCCAGTCCCACTCCCAGACAGGCCAGGGACCGTCCCATCCAGCCTCTGCCCCTGCACCCACCTGAAGGCCGTCACGGCTGACTCCTTGTAGTAGGGGCCCAGGGCAGGGTCTGTGCTGTACAGCAGCCTCAGCTGAGGAAGGAGAGCAGGCCACAGCAGGTCACGGCAGGTCTGAGAGAGGCGATGACCCCTGGCCCAAACCCGGGCCGTTCCCTCCCCTCCTGAGACCTGAGCCCCTTCTCAGGGACCCGGGAGCAAGGGTGAGGGTGTCCTTTCTGCCCAGCGGACTGGGGGTGCTGGAGCAGGCAGCAGGGGCAGAGCTCCCCGTCCAGGGCCCGGACTCACCGCTTCCTTCACCTTTTTGGCCAGGTTTACAAACTCAGTGGAGTTGGAGTTCTCATAGGCATCCAGAAAGTTCTCGTTTGTGATCCTCAGGTAGCCGTTGAAGACCATCTGGACCCGCATATCCCGGTCTGTGCCAGACCAGAAGGAGAAAGGTAGGGGAAGTGGCATCACCTCGCCTGTCCCCCACTGGCCACATCTCCCCTCAGCTCCCCGGGGAGTGAATGCCCGGAGGGGCCAGTGGCTCGAAAGAGGCCGGGGAGACGGCACCCTAGACCCCTCTCACCCATCCCCTGCTCTCCCTCCTGTCCACGGTAGGTGGCTCTGGGTCTGTGCACTGAGAGGAGGGACAGCCATTCCCACACCGCCCTCTGTAGAGCCAGCCCCAGCTTTACGCACACTGGAAGTGCCACACCAGGAAGCCAACTATGAGCGAAACCACGGCGAGGCTGGTCAGCACGGCCGCCAGCACGACCCAGCGCCTCGGGCCGCGCTTCTCCACCTTCTCGGCGTTGTTGACGGGCAAGAACTCCACGCCTTCCTCAAAGCCGTTCATGTCCTGAATGGAGAGAGGCACTGAGACTCAGACACCCTCACCCGACAGCCTCCCGGCCCTGCTCGGGGAAGGACGTTTACGTTTTGTGAGGTCTGGCTCGGATGACAAGAGGGCTTCCCCCACGAGCGCAGGGGAGCCCCGTGCATCCCGGCACGCTCCAGAGGAACTTGAGGGCCAGCCTTCCTGACCACGCGTCCCAGTGTTCGGACAGCGCCAGGGGAGAATCACTTAAGAATTGTTAGTTTAAATTAAAATGCAAGGAAGGGCTGTCTAAACCCAGTCCTGGAGATCTCCCCTTAGGTGAGTCATCATGGGCACAGGTGGACGCCAGGAGTAGGGAGAGTGGCCCCAGCCCAGGGCCCTGGCCGGCAACCATGTGCACACTTCTAAGGGCAGCCCCACTCCAGCAGATACAGCCCCTACCAGATTCTGTCCCCACCATCACCTAGGCCAGGAGCCTGAGGGCGGGATGTCAACTGCACACCCTACCCAATGGCCTTGCCCTGCCAATGTTTAACCAGCCGAAAGTAAAACAGCAGTAAACCCAGGCAGTTCCGCAGTGCCGTCGTGGAACAAACTGCTCTACGATTAACCTTAGGTGCCCCAGTCCAGGACCTCAAGGTGAAGTGAGAGGGCCAAGTCTCTGCTGGAATCCACGCCCATGCTCAGGCCCAAGAGAGTGAAAGCAAACAGGTGACAAACAGGATAGCCGCTTACCTGGGCTCCTCCCTGCCGGGAGTGTCCAGGGTGAGAGGAATCTGGATATAGGAGGGATGGTGGGCGTCCACCGAGCCTGCTGACAGAGACAGGCAAATGTTTCTGCCCCTAGCACGCTATCTGCCCGCCTTGAATCCTGGACAGGTGTCGTGGGCCTGCACTGTGCCTTAGGTTTATGCACCTCAAACCCACTCCAGTAGGGCTTACAATGCAAGCAATGGCCCCAACCCCAAATTCCACAGATATCACCACTTTTTAACTGTTTCCTGATGAAGTTCCTCATAACTCTATATTATATGCTTGAACTGACATTTCTTGATTTATCACATTTACACATTATCTATTAACTCACTGCTATAAAAGATTCTCCCTGCTCCAGACACACTGGATAGTTGTATCTCCAATTTTAGTTTCCTAATTGGCTGTATTTGTGACTTTACCTATTAACATAGAAACACACCCTAGAGGCGACCACTTAAAATGCCTTCCTGCTGCCTGTTCTGGAACTTGTCCCCGTATTGTAAATAATATGACAATACCACTATCTCTTGATTCATGTATTTAGAATATCATCAACTGACTTCCTATTTGATAATGTGGATTTTAATGTCCTTCCTTCCCTTTTCTGCCCTATCCTCTTAACAGTTAAAGGACCAA